AAAGACTGGGTTAGACACTACGACTCTTTCCTAGGCTTTCTACGCCCCCCACTCCCTCTGCTCGCCAAAATACCTACCCTAAGTCTGCATCCCGACGCACCAACTTCCGCCCACTCCACTCGCCCCTCGGCCTGTCACGCTCTCCGGAAAAGGACACAAGGTCCCCTTCCCACTTACATCCTCTTCTCAACCCCTGTTGTTAGGTTGTCAGAGTAGGTTGAAAATCAAAACAAAGGCCAAAACAAGAACATACTCACAAAATCCATAAATAAACCAAACACAAACAACTTGTTTCCTAGAGTTTCATTTCTCGCTGAACAGTACAGAGAGCTGGCCCCAAATATTTCCATTTAATAATTGCATCACTGCTCCCCCACCCTAGCCTCTAATATGCACGGACAGAAAGAGAATAGAATGTGGAATTGGGTAAAGGGAATCTGAGTATTCCCCAGTTACCCCATTTCTCCCCATCTTTTCTTAAAGTCCTCCATTTCCTTTCTACTTTCCAAAAACATTGTGCGTATTCTCCTTTAAGGGGCTGGGCATCTTGCCTGCCCTCTTTAGAGTCACCGAAGTTTCCAAAGAGCCTCCCCTGTCTGGGCAGGACACACCTTTCAAATAGGACCCCCGGAACTGTGCTCTTCGCATCCCAAACGCTGTTTCCCCTGGGTCCTCCCTGGCCTCTTTCTCCCCTCCTCTAGGATTTAGCCTCTCTCCAGAGAGAGTGAGCATCTTTGAGGACTCCCACCCTTAACTGCTCCACTCCCGGATGGAGCCAGGGAAATGTGGTGGGGGGGCCGGGGCCAGAGTTTCAACATTGCCCCCCAGAAGGAGCAGCCAGAGATGGGGGTAAGGAGAAGGGGGGACAAGCTGCTGTAATGGGGATGCTGTGGAAGGAAGAGGGAAGGACAGGATCCAGAGAAGGGTGTATCTGTTAAATCAACTGTCATGGAGCTTGCTCGGCCTCATTATCCATTAACTAGCCCCTCCCTGTCCTGTCTGCCAGCCCCAGGCCTGAGCTCCTGGTAGTCACTGGTCTCAGTTTCCCTGAGAGGGAGAGGCTCCTTGTAGGTCCCCAAAGGCAGCTGCTGAAGAAATCCCAGATCCTGAGGTTGGGAAGTCCCAGATTAACTCTCCCCTTCCCAGCTCTCTGGACCAAAGTCTGACACAGGCAACAGGATGCCGGAGCCCAGCAGTCATCAGGTTGGCGGTTGCCTGGCCTCTTGTTGCCTCCCAGGTAATAATCTGACTTTCCAAGACTCCTTCAAAATTCCTCCTACCCCAATCTTCTTATATTCTCACCATAAATAGCTATGTATTCCTTTCCTCAAATTGTTTCTGCCTGAGGCTTGCTCTCCTGTCTCCCCAGAGCTAATGGGGACCTTGAACCTCGATGGTCCCTCTGCTTTCTTGCCTTGGCTAGCCCTTTTCTTATTTAGTCCATGAGCACTGAGTGTCTACTATGTAGCATGTTCTGTGTACTGAAAAATGCAAACCCTTTCCCTTCTATCTTGCATTCTAGAAGGATGAGTGGGTCTGTAGATATGAGGCAGTTAGAACTTTGCTCCCCTTTTCCCTCTTAGGGGAGAAGGTCCTAGCATGGGCACCAGGGCTGAGGAAAGGGCGAGAACTGGAACTACCTGGGACTCTGATCTGCACTAACTTTAGGGTCACCTTCCAACCTTGTGGATGGCAGCCGAATCAGGTGAGATGGCTAATGTAATAGAAAAGACAGAAGCTGGGCATGGTGGTTCTGAATGTGACCCCAATACTCTGGAGGCTGAGATGGGAAGACCATGATCATTCCAGGCTATCCTAGGCTACATAGCATACTGTGTTTCAAAAACACAAAATAGGGCTGGAGAGATGGCTCAGGGTTAAGAGCACTGACTGTTCTTCCAGAGGTCCTGAGTTCAATTCCCAGCAACCACATGGTGGCTCACAACCATCCATAATGAGATCTGGTGTCCTCTTCTGGCCTGCAGGCATACATGTAGGTGGAACACTGTATACATAGTTAATAAATAAATCTTAAAAAAAAAAGTGTGTGTGTGCATGCGTGCATGCGCGCGTGCGCTCTCACACACACACAGACACACACACACTAAAAGGACATCTAGAGTGAACTGGGAAACCGAGTCTGGATTTGGATATATGCATTAGGGGTTTTCGTTTGAATGTATCATTGATAGGAGGGATTATTTCTAGGGAAGTTGCCTTCTACTGGGGAGGGGAGAGTAGAAGGCAGCAAGGTAGGACAATGATGGCTGTTGGAGGTCTATAGCACCAGTCTCGTGCTTCCTTTAGGACACTCCCCTGAGCAGTGAATATGATTTTGCTTTGCTCAACATTGGGCGATTAGAGGCCGGTAAGTCTGAGAATTTGACAAAAGGGCTGTCAGAGCTTCCTCCCCCCCTTTCTGTTCTCAGAAGACTGCAAGGGGTGGGGCAGGGTGGACTGGAGGGAATCCTCCTAGAGTGACCCCGTGGTTATTCCACTCTAACTCTTGACTTCAGTGAGTGGCCTGTCAAGAGTGCAGCTCCTCCGTCCAGGGTCCCAGCTTAAGTTCATCCCAGAGGAGATCCTTATTCATGGCCGAGACTTCCGCCTACTTAGAGTTGGTTTTGAGTCCAGAGGGCTAGAGTCTCAGGCCTTTCAGGTAAGAACGCTTTCATTTGAAGAACCCTCACCCGAGCAACTCAGGGTCCTCTCCAGGCTCCAGGGGCTCCTTTCATCCCTCTTACTCCACTCAAGGAGGAGCTAGAAGTCGGAGTGAGAGTCTTATGAGGGGAAGGGCCTGAACTGTAATCTGGCTGTCAGTTATGAACAGTAACTATGGGTAAGTTTTTACCTCTGGAAAACGTGGAGTTGGATAATAGTCCTAAGATTCCTCCCCCAAATTAACATTCTATGAGTCTGTGGTTCTATATTTGTTTCTCTGACCCCAGCACCTACCACTTGTGGAGGTCCCCTTCTCTAGGGCCTTTTTTAGCTGCTCTGCTCTCTCTATTGGTGGTAAAGACAGTAGAGCAACACATGCTCTATCTCATTTTTTTTACTTAGTCTGAGGATAAAGGATGGCGTATGTTCTCCTCCCCAGGTAACCATGGCCATCGTTCAAGCCAGAGCTCAGAGTAGTCAAACCCAGCAGTATAGAGGAATAACCCTGAGCAAAGCTGGTAAGTGAGGATGCTTTAGGTCAAGGAAATGGGAAGAGAGTCTGAGACAGAGGGGCTAGTTGGATAAAATATTTCTTCTTCCTCTGTGTCTCACTCTTGCTCCAGGCAAAGTTTCTGGCTCCAGAAAACCACCTATTCCTCTCTTGGAGACTTTAGAAGACTGGGAAGCTGAGCGGAAGAAGCAGGGGGCCAGTGGCTGGAGGGTTAGCACAGTCAATGAGAGATTCGACATAGCTACCAGGTGATGTCCCTATCCACCCCGACTCCTGCTGCCCTCCAAGTCTTCCGAGAGTTCCTTGCTTCTCTGAGCCAGTACTTTCTATAAACTCTAGCCTCTGCTACTCTGTTTTTAAAACCGGAGATCTCTTGGAATGGTCTTTCCAAAGTAACTCCTTGTCATAATAACCTTCCATTAGCAGAGGCCACTGACAAGCTATGACATCACTCTTTATTTTGCAGCCTCTCAGGTTACTTCTGTGTCCCTAAGCGAATTCTGGACAGTGAGGTCAGAAGAGCGTTTGCCCACTTCCATCAGGGCCGTGGACCGGTCAGTCTGAGATTAGAGGGTCAGGGGACAAGGGATGGGAGGGCTTCCTGTGAGGTCATTGTCAGGGCAAGGGTAGATTAAGTATAGTTCTTCCATAATGACCCTCTTCTCACCCATATGAAGCGCCTGTCCTGGCACCACCCTGGCGGCAGTGACCTTCTCCGATGTGGAGACTTCTATGTAGCCAGTGACCCTAACAAAGACGATGTCAGGTGAGGGTTGTGATGAGACCCAAGGGCTAGGTATTCTGAGAAGATGCATTGCTTTAATTCCTGACTCCCTCCCTTCTCTTCAGAGCAGTGGAGTCCATGCTACAGGCGGGGCACTCTGATGTTGTCTTGGTAGATGCTATGGATGACATGCCTAGTCTTGCTGACACCCAACTTGCCCACTTGAAGCTGAGGGCCCTTTGCCTGCCTGGTGAGAATAACCTTTGAGCCCTCAATCCTAACTTGGTTTACTATTTTACATGTTATAAATAATCCTTTAGACCAATGATTTTTCACTTCTCCATCCCATCTTCACTTAGTTTTACCAATAACTTGTTTTCTCCAAATTTTTGTTTTGTTTTGGTATTTTTCTATTTGTTTTGTTTTTATTTTTTTATTCTTTGAGACAAATTCTCACTGTGTAGCCCTGGCTGATCTACAGCTCACTATATAGACCAGGCTGGCCTCAAACTCGCTGGTTCACCCACCTGATTCTGTCTCATGAGTGCTGGGATTAAAGGCATGCACTAGCACACCCTGCTCATCAACTTTAAAAATAACACTTTCCTGACTAAATATGGGTGCGGTGGCATACACCTGTAATCATTTGAGGAGTAAAATTAAGAGAATTGCTATAATGAGTTTAGGGCCAGTCTGGGCTATGAGACCCTGTCTTAAAACAAAAATGAAAAAAAAAAAACTTTATGAAATTCACTCTACCGATCTTAAGTGTACAATGAATTTTATTTATAATATTATATACTCATAAAACATTTTTAAATGGTGAGGATCAAACCCAAGGCCTTCATTTATATTTAATGTATATGTAATGTATGTATATAATGTATGTATATGTGTGTGTCTGTATACCCTGTACTTGGGGGGGGGGTGCCTGTGGTGTTGGATCACCTAGAGCTGGAGTTACAGGTGGCCATGAGCCACCTGACATGGGTTCTGAGAATCAAACTTAGGTCATCTGTATGCATTCCATCTGATCCCCCTGGCTGGTTTCTCTCTGCCCACTGTCCCCACAGCCACTTATAACCACTTAGAGACTTATCATATATTTATAATTGTTTGGCCAATGACTTAGGTTTATTATTGGCTAGCTCTCTTATAAAATAACCCAGTTTTACTAACCCATTTCACTAAGCCCATTTTATTAATCTGTGGCTGTGGCTCACTGGTGATGCCCTGGCATCTTGCCTCCCCTGTGGCTACATGGTGTCTCCTGACTCCACCTTCTCTCTGTCTCTGTTTGGATTTCCCAACTGGCCTTACTCTGCTCAGCCATTGGCCGAAACAGCTTTATTCATCAACCAATAAAAGCAACACATATTCACAGTGTACAGAAGGACAGCCCACATTAGTCATCTGGAAGAACAATGTGCCCTCTTAACACCACACCATCTCTCCAGCTCCCACTACCAAACCATTTTACTTATTTTGTTTTGCTTTTTTGAGACAGGGACTTACATTATAGCCCTGGCTATCCTAGAACTCACTATGTAGACCAGGCTAGCCTCCATATCATAGATTTGTCTGCCTCTGTCTCCCGAGTGGTGAGATTAAAGGGGTGCATGCCACACCTGGCCCTATCATACTTCTTAACCCATTAAGGTTTGGATCTGGATCCTGATCTCTTTGTCCTTCTTGATCCCTCTCTGCTAGATTCATCTGTAGCTGAAGATAAGTGGCTCTCAGCCTTGGAAGGAACACGATGGTTGGACTATGTCAGGTATGCCCAAACTTCTAATCTTAATTAAGAATTCCAACTTCTAGCCAAATGTTACTACATACCTTTAGTCCCAGCACTCAACGCAGGGGCAGAGGCACAGGGCAGAGGCAGCTGGAGGTCTGTGAATTAGAGTTCAGCCTGGTCTACACAGAGAGTTCTAGGACAGCCAGGGCTACTAGTGAGATTCTGTCTTCAAAAAACCAACCCCTGCCCCCCAATAGAACTTTTCCAGCCTTCTCTTGACTTGGGCTTTCCAATGGCCATCCATAAATCCATCCCCTGGGTTTCCCACGAAGACTGTACCACTGTGTCTTAGAAGCAGTGGGTTTTTGGAATCTGCCTCTCTTCTAACTCATCACTCCCTTCCTCACACGCCCCTTCCCTTAGGTCTTGTCTTCGAAAGGCTAGTGACATCTCAGTATTAGTGACATCCAGGGTCCGTTCTGTAGTACTTCAAGGTGAGTTCCTTGGATCAGCTCCTTGCATTCCTTACCTTTTCCTTCATGTGATTGGACAGTGTGGACGGGGGACATCCACAGAGCTCCCTAGTGCCCTTAAATACTAGCATCTTCCTGTTCATAGGGAGTATTGTCCCAACACATCCTTCACAGCTACGCAGTCTCCCTACTCTAATAGTTGTCCCCAACTCTAAGATGCTCTTAGTCCCTCTCCCCCCTTCATTAGTGGATGGGGACAGCACCTGGGATGGTCTGGGAAGTGTCTGCGCTTCCTCTGTGACACTGGGTGTTTCTAGTAGGTGAAGTTTATGAGGTGAATCATTTGAGTTTTGTTTTCTCTTCACTTCTCTGTGTTCTTTCAATCCTGCTTTCCCTTCCTTTCCTTTCTGTGCCCCTACTGTCCTCTTCCCATGTTTTCTCTCCTCATTTCCTCCTGCCCTAGTTTCTTGGACCCCTTTTTTTGTTCCTTCTTCATCACCCAGAGCATGGTGATCGTGATTTCAATGGCCTCCTCTCTTCACTCGTCCAGCTGCTTTTGGCCCCTGAAGCCCGGACACTGTTTGGTTTCCAGTCACTAGTGCAACGGGAGTGGGTGGCAGCTGGACACCCCTTCCTGACCAGGCTTGGGGAGACTGGGGCCGGTGAGGAGGTGAGAGCACTTTAGGGTTTGTTTTGGGGGGGACATTACTAAATAAATGTGAGAAAATGATACAGTCTAACCTATTGGAAGTGAGTCCACTCTGAATGGGCTGTTAGGCTGAGCAAACACTCAGATGAGTCAGGCTCACACCCCCTACTACTCTCAACTCCCCTGACTTGCTTAGGGTCCTGTTCCCTTGGTCCTCTGTTCTCATACTTTGTTACCCCCTTTCTTTAGATCACTGTAGACTCTCCATCTTCTCGTTTCTCTTCTAGGCCCCAGTGTTTCCTCTCTTCCTTGACTGTGTCTGGCAGCTCCTCCAGCAGTTTCCAGCTGAATTTGAATTCTCTGAGTTTTTCCTTCTTGCTCTGCACGACAGTATCCGGGTTCCTGACACCCTTACTTTCCTGAGAAACACTCCCTGGGAACGTGGGAAGAAGAGTGGGCAGGTCAGTGACCTCTAGTTTTTATTGTTTTTCTGTAATACTTCAAACTTTGAAATCTGGTCCTGATTTATGAAAATTGAGTTTTGTGGAAGGAGCTGGGGGAGCTCATTCAAGATTAGATTTTTGTTCTACATGTGATGCCTGAAATAGAAGGTAAGAAGGTCATAATTTGTTTTCTAGACATGGGAGGCACACACACACACACACACACACACACACACACACACACACACACACACACTGGTATAACAATTCCTGTTTAAAAGTCTGTGCAAGCTGGGGCTGGAGAGATAGCTCAGGGGTTAGGAGCACAGGCTGCTCTTCCAGAGGTCCTGAGTTCAATCCCCAGCAACCACATGGTGGCTCACAACCATCTGTAATGAGATCTGGTGCCCTCTTCTGGCCTGTAAGCATACTGTTTTGTTGCCTGGATGTGTACATGCAATAGTAACCCTGTGGATGTCAGAGGACAGGCTCAGTCAGTCTCCACCTTCCACCTATGGCTTATCTGCTGCATACTCCAGGCTGGACTCTCCTGTGTCTGCCTCCCGTCTTACTGAGGTCACTGACCCTGAGCTAAGTGTCTGGCTTTGTGTGGGTTCTGGGAATTCAAACTCAATGTCCTCACCTTCACATGGCAAGTGCTTTTATCCACCAAGCCACTTCCTGAGCTCTAACCACCCATTTTCTTGTTTCTGCTGTCCAGTTCAACTCCTATACACAAGTTTACACCCCTGAGTACGGCCAGTCCTTAGCTGGGAGCTCTGTTAATCTACAGCTGTCTGTCTGGGACTGGGATTTACGCTACAGCAAGGAACAGATATCACAGTTCCTTAATCCTGGCTACAATCCGGAGCATCGCCCAGATTCCTGGCTCCCTAGACAACAGGTAAAATGCCTACACTTCAATTCCCCTGGCTTTGCCAGGTTCCCACTACTAGATGAAATGTAGAAAGACAGGATATCTGAGTTCCTCAGAGAAAGCAACCACTATCTTTTACAGCTGTCACTTGTAACCTGTCTTCAGCAAGACTCATGTGCTAGAATTTGTCTTCATTTCTGTTTGTCTTGTTTCATGTCCATATATTACAAGTCTCTCTAAAATCAAGCTTAATAAGCCCAAAGCCCTAAAGCCTAGTGAGATGTGAGCTCAGAGGAGGCTTGGGCTGTCAGTCACTGGTACAATGAGTGGGCGTGGCAGCAGGGTCCCATCCCCTCTTCAGAGAGCAGTTGTTTCTCAGTTGTCTCTTGACTTCGATTTCTCTTTTAGGCAAGCTTCATGGTTCCTGGGCGCCCCAGTTCTGTGTGGCTGTTCTCTAGAGGGGCCCTGACAGCCCTGAATCGGCTCTGTCCTTGGCAAGACAGTCCGTCCTTGCTGGCAGTCTCTTCTCACTGGCTCCCTCGACCTGCTAGATCCTCTGAAAGCCTAGCTGATCAGGAATGGGGGCTCCCGTCACACTGGGGAGCTTGCCCTTTACCTCCTGGGCTACTGCTGCCTGGATATCTTGGACCTCAGATCAGGTTCTGGAGACGATGCTACCTGAGGGGAAGGCCTGAGGCCCAGGTGAGAAAGGAAGACAGACTGGAAGGGGAGAAAGAGCTGGAAAGGCAAATGGCTGGAGGAGCTGAGGGCCCTCCGTTTATCAGACTGGGTCCACTTGGGATAACAGGTGGTGGGAAGACTGACCCACGGCTCAGATCATGCAGAATCTAGGGCACAGTCAGAAGAGGAAAGGGCATTTAAGACTCTAGAAGTAGCAAGGATCTTAAAAATAGGTACTACCTCCTTTGCCTGGCAGTGGTGGCACACACTTGAGTGTAGAACAGGCCGGCTTGGTCTACAAATTGAGTTCCAGGACAGCCCAGGCTACACAGAGAAACCCTGTCTTGGAGAAAAAAAAAAAAAAAGGCAAGAAAGCTCTCTGGGAGATGGTGGTGCATGCTCTAATCTCAGCACTTGGGAAGCAGAGGCTGTGGATCTCTTGTGAGTTTGAAGTCAGCCTGGCCTACAAAGTGAGTTCCAGGACAGCTGCACAGAGAAACCCTGTCTTGAGAGAGAGAGAGACAGAGAGAGAGAGAGAGAGAGAGAGAGAGAGAGAGAGAGAGAGAGAGAGAGAGAGAGACAGGGAGCCAGGAGAAAGGGGGCAGGGGTGGAGGAAGAAAGAGAGAGAGACCTTTGTGCCCTTGTTTTCCCCTCCCCAGATGGGCTCCTCGGCTCTTACAATCTCTGGCCTCCAGGATGAACTCTCTTGTCTTCAGGAACTATTAAGAAAACTGACACCAAGAATATCTCCTGAGGATCACTGCAAGAAGAGAGATCCAAATACCATCCTCTCTCAGATCCGTTGAGACTGCTAGCATTCTCGAAGGCAGGGCAGAGGGAATGTGGAGGGAGTTCTGCTCATGTTTCTTTGTATCTGACCTCAGTGTTTCAAGCTTTCACATTCCAGCCCATAAAGGAGCTCACTCCGTGAGTGAGTTTCTGTAGCAGACATGGAGCTACCAACCTCCAGCTATTTTTGTTTCTCTGGAATAAGAAACAAAACCACTTCAGAACGTTTCCTTTTTTTCTCTGGCAATTCCATGCCGTTTAGATGACAAACTGTCAAAACTGTGAGATCAGAGACACTTCATCAGTTCCAACAAGATGCCCCAGAGACTTCATTCTCAACCCCTCACACTGCTTTGAAATCCAGTTTCTTAGTCTTCTGTGGGAATGAGGGAAATAAGGGAGACACCCTGTCCTCCCACTGTATATTTTTGTAGTGGTATTTCTATTTAAGGACTTCATTAAAGCACAGTATTTCTACACATTGCTGGTATTGTTTCTTGTGTTGAATGAAGATCTCGGTAAAGTGGTTGGGGGAGGGTATGCACTGAGAGAAAAGCACCCAGATTATTGATACAGAAATTAAGGACCCAGTTCGAGGCCAGCCTGGTCTACAAGAGCGAGTTCCAGGACAGCCTCCAAAGCCACAGGGAAACCCTGTCTCGAGAAACAAAACAAATAGATAAAAAAGAAGTTAAGGACCCAAAACAGGAGGGGCTATTCCGACGAAATTTGGAGAAAGAAGCACCAACCCCTTTTTTTTTTTTTTTTTTTTTTTTTTGAGACAGGGTTTCTCTGTGTAGCCCTGGCTGTCCTGGCCCGGGAGGAAGGCTCTCTGAGTGTCTCTTCTGTGGGAGGGGAGGGATGCACGGTGCTGCCGAGTGCTCCCGAGGCTGAGACTGACCGTGAACACACGCGGCACCGTGCCTCAGATGACCCCACGAATAGTGGGGCTCAGACACTTCCGTCTGCACTGAGGTAACAGGCTGCGTCCCGAGGCAGCCGGCCCCCCCCTCCCTCCCCCCAGCACGCTTCTCTGCGTCACAGAACATACAAGGCTGAGATTAGGGCTTAAATTTGGGCTGGGGAGCAGCGGGACTGCCTGACAGGCGAGAGCCGCGTCGTCAAGAGGGGCCTGAGCGCCTCGGCGCCAGCCGGGCGTCGTGAGAGCTCCACCACAGCGTCTTTCCAGACACGCGTCAGACGCCTAAGATGGCCGCGGCCACTTCCGGCTCCTCCCCTGCCGCCCGCCCCGCCCAATGGGAGCCTTGGCCCGGAAGTGGAAGTCGTAACAGGTCAGAGGGCGGTGCTGCCGCTTAGAGACGGCGGGAGCCTCTTCGCCATGGCTGCCGGGCCCATCTCCGAACGGAATCAGGGTAATTGGGGGAGAAGAGCCCAAGGTGGGCCCAGGGAGGTGGAGGGCAGATGAGTGCTAGAAGCGTTAGCGCCAGCGTGGGAAACTAGGTTTCCCCGGGAAGGCCCGCGTCTGGGGGCTGGGCCTGGGGGCCGGGTTGAGGCCGAGGCCTGTGAGGGTGATGCCTCTGGATCCGGTTCCCGTAGGCACTCCCGCTGCTACCAAGCGCATCATTGAAACTCCACCGGGAAGTACACAATCCGCAAGAACGCCACATTAGACTTGAGCGGGTTTTTTTATACTAGGCAGGCAAAGGGTGATCTCAGGGTTTTAGTTACTTTTTTTTTAAATTTCTGTTTTCCTTTTAACTCGTGACCTCGTCCTTACCTTCTGCTTTCTTGCTTTAGATGCCACGGTGTACGTGGGCGGTCTAGACGAGAAAGTGAGCGAACCACTGCTGTGGGAGCTCTTTCTCCAGGCAGGGCCGGTGGTCAACACCCACATGCCAAAGGATAGAGTCACTGGCCAGCACCAAGGTGAGTATTTACGGCAAGAAATGACTTTACTTTGGGTTAGCGGCCCCTGAAGCATCTCAACACTAGTCACAGCTATTTTGGAATGGTTTCTTTCTCTAAGCTTCAGTTGGCAGTTTGTTTCAGGAGTAGTCTCTTAGCTTTAGTTTGAAGTTGGGATTCTTCCAACTTGTTCTTTGTTTGGAGGCTGGTGAGTTAGTGTGTCGTTTTGAATCTCTTCATCTGAGTAGTCTTTTCTTCAATTCCCCAGGCTATGGCTTCGTTGAATTCTTGAGTGAGGAAGATGCTGACTATGCTATTAAAATTATGAACATGATCAAACTCTATGGGAAGCCCATACGGGTGAACAAGGCTTCAGCTCACAACAAAAACCTGGATGTAGGGGCCAACATTTTCATTGGGAACCTGGACCCAGAAATCGATGAGAAGCTGCTTTATGATACTTTCAGCGCCTTTGGGGTCATCTTACAAACCCCCAAGATTATGCGGGACCCTGACACAGGCAACTCTAAGGGTTATGCCTTCATTAATTTTGCCTCCTTTGATGCTTCGGATGCAGCAATTGAGGCCATGAATGGGCAGTACCTGTGTAACAGACCCATCACTGTGTCTTACGCCTTCAAGAAGGACTCTAAAGGCGAGCGCCATGGCTCAGCAGCTGAACGACTTCTGGCAGCCCAGAACCCGCTGTCCCAGGCTGACCGTCCTCACCAGCTGTTCGCAGATGCACCCCCTCCACCCTCTGCCCCCAATCCTGTGGTTTCATCCCTGGGTTCTGGGCTTCCTCCACCAGGTAAAGCTTTTAGTTCAAACTACACCAGTGAGAGGCCCTTGGGAGGGAGGGTCAGAAGGCAGAAGAAACCCTGAGGGAGTAAGCTGTTAACTCAGCGGGCAGCGAGAAAGGGATGAGGAGTGCTGGTGGAAGGGATGCAGATGTTGGGTTTCTTTGGGAGACTGGAGTTTAGTGTGCTGGAAGGAAGCTAGAGCTCTGTAAGACAGTCTTTCTTTCTTCACAAGATAGACTCTCGTTTCTTGTATAGGCATGCCTCCTCCTGGCTCCTTCCCACCTCCAGTGCCGCCACCTGGAGCCCTCCCTCCTGGGATACCCCCAGCCATGCCCCCACCACCTATGCCACCTGGGGCTGGAGGACATGGCCCCCCAGCAGCAGGAACTCCAGGAGCTGGGCATCCTGGTCACGGACACTCACATCCTCACCCATTCCCACCAGGTGGGATGCCCCATCCAGGTAAGTGGTCTGCTGGGAAACGGAGATGAGCTTGTGAGAGTGATTCTGTCACTGCTCTTTGTCTTGGGTGGAAATAGTCTAGAGTCTCCCTTTCCTTCAGAAAATACTTCTGTGTGTACTTCAGCTCCCTCCCGTCTTGTCTCTGGTTTTTCCTTTTTCTGCAGAATAGCCTGTTCTTACTGTTTTTACTCTCAGCCTCTCCTCTGATTCCCAGGAAGGAGCTCAGTTGCCAGATCTAGGCGACATTTTTGCTTATTTTTTTTTGTTGTTGTTTTGTTTTAGGGATAAGGTCTCTCTGTGTAGGATCCTGACTGTCCTGCAACTCATTCTGTAGACCAGGCTGGCCCTGAACTCAGAGATCTGCCTGCCTCTGTCTCCCAAGTGCTGGGTTTAAAGGTGGCACTACCACTGGGCAGCCGTTTCTGCTTTTTGTTTTTGTTTTTCGAGACAGGGTTTCTCTGTGTAGTTTTGGAGCCTATCCTGGCACTGGCTCTGTAGACCAGGCTGGCCTCGAGCTCACAGAGATCCTCCTGCCTTTGCCTCCCGAGTGCTGGGATTAAAGGCGTGCACCACCAACGCCTGGCCTGTTTCTGCTTCTTAACCACTACTATACACATGACGAGCTATGCATGTATTAAACTGTTTCCTCTATGTGACTTATCAACCTCAGCAACCTGGGTCAGCCCCCTTTTTTGTCTGTGTAGATTTTGTGCTTTGTTCTTCTTCCAGTGTTTATTTGTAGTGTTAAATGTGCAGGTACTGATTCCTTCTGTCTCTAGTCCATGGTTCTTGACAGGCTAGACAAGGCTGCTGCTCAACCCACAGTTCACTTTTCTCCTTCCAGCATCTCCTTCTACAGCCCTTGTTTGTAGCAGCTAAGTTCACAACTCTGGGAGTTTGTATACTGTCATCCACTTGCAAGTTTAACACATGTTTCTGCCAGTTGCCACAAACCAGCACCTTACTCTGTTGTACATATACTGACTGTGGTAATCTCCTATCTCTTTGACTCTAATTTTCTCTGTCTTTGATCTACTTTTATTCATAGGAATTTCCTTAAAATTCTTTTGTTCCCTATTAACTTACTCAAATTGCCATAACACTCAGTACTGAGGTTTCTCCTGGTGGCCTAGTTATTGGTATTATCATGTTTAGTGTTTGGTGATTTGCATGTGTCAAACTTTCTGCATGGAGCAGTTGATATCTACTCTCTTGTCCTCTAAAGGAACCCTTTTTGGTGGTGGCGGTGGTGATTTCTGGTTCCCTGATGCTGGTATTAAAAGTGTGCACTGCCTTGGCAGGCTAAAACTTTATTTTGTAATTTAGTTTGTTTTTTGAGCCAGAGTCTCATGTGGCCCAGACTGGTCTCACTTTGCTCGGTAGCTAAGGATGTTCTACTACTGATCCTTCTGCTTCAACCTTCAACATGCTGGGGATGCAGATGTGAGCTACTAGGCCTGGGGCCTCCCAAGGAATTCCATTTTTTCCTCCCTCTGAGACAGGGTTTTTCTGTGTAACAGTTCTGGCTGTCCTCGAACTTGTTTTTTAGGCCAATTCTGCCTTGAACTCACAGAGATCCACCTGCCTTTGTCTCCTGAGTGGTGGGATTAAAGATATGCACTGCCCTGCTAGGAGTTCTTATTGTTGTTTTATAATTAAGCCTTTCCCCTGGGCTATGTCTGCCACCTTCCCCAGTCCTGTTGTAGAGCAAAAAAACTGCTTGTTGTATACCTTGCTGTCAGTTTCTCTATGCTTAAATCATAGAAGAAAAACGAGTGCACATTTCATTGTCTTTTTTCTTCATATCAAGAAAAAAGATATTTCTGATGTGCTAAACAAACTTGGAGGTCAATTAGCAGCGTGGCTATGGTAACCACCGCTGTCAGTCACCTTCAGACAAATGTTGATTTGAAAAAAAAATCGTAGGACAATGACGAGCCTGCAGAGTTGGCTGGATTTTACTGTTGAAAGGGTAAAGCATTGACCCTGTTTTAATCTTCATGTCACTTATGTCATTTTGTTCTGTTTGCTTTGTCTTTGTTTTATTTTTATAGGGATGTCTCAGATGCAGCTGGCCCATCATGGCCCCCATGGCCTAGGACATCCCCATGCCGGGCCTCCAGGCTCTGGAGGACAGCCACCACCCCGGCCACCTCCTGGAATGCCTCATCCTGGACCTCCTCCAATGGGCATGCCCCCCCGAGGGCCTCCTTTTGGATCTCCTATGGGTGAGTGGGTGTTAGCCCCTTCTTTATCCTTCCATATATTTATACGTGTGTGTGTGTGTGTGTGTGTGTGTGTGTGTGTGTGTGTGTGTGTGTGTGTGTGTGTGTGTGTGTGTGTG